CTCTCAACCAGGTACCCTTGTATAGTGTTGACAACCTATACAATGGCACACAGAAGCCCAACCCTCCCCTATTCATATTGGGATGTCTGAAGATCCTAGAAGCCTCTGCCATCTCACCTCAGCATGGTAGGCCCAGCTGACCAGCCTCGTTCATGACTAGGCCACTGGAGAAGCATCAGCTTCCTTTGCTTTCACGATTGCTACACTGTTGCTACCCAAAAGGCCATCGTATCCTGATTTGCCCAGGTGCCAACATGAGTGGCCAAAGCAGATCAGAGATCATTTAAGGAGACTCCATAGCTTGAAGGAAGAAGACCAAGCTAAATAGCTAGAAGAGATTACACATATTGAGATAGGTTTAAAAGAAAAAGTAAGCTTTTAAAATAAGAATTCTGAGGGGAGCCCCGGTGGCGCAGTGGTTTGGCACCGCCTTCAGCCCAGGGCGCGATCCTGGGGACCTGGTATCGAGTCCCATGTCGGGCTCCCTGCGTGGAGCCTGCTTCTCCCTCTGCCTGTGTCTCTGCCCGCCCCCCGCCCATGAATAAATAAAATCTTTAAAAAAATAAATAAAAAATAAAATAAGAATTCTGAGATTCAAGTAGAGATTAAAAAGACAGAATCAGAATGAAGACACATGGTTTTGGGAAGTTAAAAAGACAATTTCTAAATTTAAACATTTTAATTGTGGAAGTGAAAAATAGAATGAACACCACTGAAAATTGGTTTAATGACCTGAAAGATGAAAAAGGAGAACAACCCCACCAGACCAAAAATACAAAGAAATGGAAGTTATGAGTGAAAAGGTTAAAACCATGGCTGATATATCTAGGAGAGATAAACATAATAGAGCAGCAAATGGAGCAAAATTAATAAGGGGGTGAAGCAATCATCAAAGAAGTAAAAGAAGAAAACTTTAGGGATTTTAAGCAACTTGAATTTTCAGCTAGAAAAAAGACTCATTGAATGCTATTCAGCAGTAATTTTAAAACACGCACCATACCTAGGGAGGCGCCTTGCTGGCTCAGTTGGTGGAGCATGAGACTCTTGATCTCAGGGTGGTGAGTTCAAGCCTCACAATGAGTGTGGAGATTACATAAAATAAAATAAAAATAAAATAAAATAAAATAAAATAAAATCATATACCTAGGACTTCCAGTTCTGGATAAGATAGAGGAACATATTTCTCCCTATTCTTCCTCTTAAATATAGCTAAACCCGGGATCCCTGGGTGGCGCAGCGGTTTGGCGCCTGCCTTTGGCCCAGGGCGCGATCCTGGAGACCCGGGATTGAATCCCACATCAGGTTCCCGGTGCATGGAGCCTGCTTCTCCCTCTGCCTATGTCTCTGCCTCTCTCTCTCTCTCACTGTGTGCCCATCATAAAATAAATAAGATAAAAAAAAATAAAAAAAAATATAGCTAAACCCTCTAGACACATATGTAAAACAAACATAAGGAAATTCTGAATGATGGAGAGAATGCAAACCAGCCAGGCACCTCAGGGCTCAAAAAACAACATGGCAACAAATTCTGTGGATTTTCTTTTTGCATCCTATATATCCCCGACGAGGCACTAGAGAAGCCCACAATTAGGAAATGCCAAAGGGCACAGACTTTTTTTAAAAAGGCCTCAAGAAAAGTCTGATTTCCGTAGCCAAAGGAATGGGAAAGAGCAGCCCAACAAGACAGAAGTCTTTGTGACAACATGTACCCCATTCCAGCCAAACACTAGAGTAAAAAATTACACACAGTGGTCCTACTCCCACTCTCCCACCCCTGGTCAGTGGAGGCTAAGTAGAGAACGTGGATGTTCACCCCTGCCCTTAGGTCACAAGACGAATCTCCCACTCTGCCCCAGGGTGGTATCAGCAGAAGCTGAGTGGGGAATTTGGACTTCCATCCCCACCCAGTGGTCACAAGGCACGGTTCTCTTTCCCTACCAGGACAGTGTCTGCCGAGGCCTGCTAAAACAGAATTCAAATAAGATCCAGAATCTCATAACATAATACCCAAAATGTCCAGAATACAATATTAAAAATCACTTATAATACCAAGAACCAGAAAAATCTCACCTTGAATGAAGGAAAGACAACAGATACCAAAATGGAGAAGCTGCAGATGCTAGAACGATCTGACATTGTTTTTAAAGTGGCCATCCTAAAAATGCTCCAATAACCAATCATGAGTTCTCAGATGAAAACATAGGAAATATCAACAAAGAAACAGATGTTATTTAAAAAAAAATAATGACATGGAAATGATATAACTGGAAAATACAACAAAAGAAATTAAAAACTCTCTGGATAGGGCAGCCCGGTGGCTCAGCAGTTTAGCACCGCCTTTGACCCAGGACGTGATCCTGGAGACCCAGGATCAAGTCCCACGTTGGGCTCCCTGCATGGAGTCTGCTTCTCTCTCTGCCTGTGTCTCTGCCTCTCTCTCTCTCTCTAAGTCTCTCATGAATAAATAAATAAAATCTTTTTAAAAAAAACTCTCTGGATATACTCAATAGTAAAGCAGAGGTAACAAAGGATAAAATCGGTGAATTTAAGGGAAGATTAATAAAATACAACCCATTCAAGCAACTGAGAAAAAATATATTGGGGGAAAAAAGAACAGAGTCCAGCTAAGACTCATAAGAGTTTCAGAAGGGCAAGAGAGACAAAGCAGGACTGAAAAAGCAGTTGAAGAAATAATAGCTGAAAATTCCCCAAATTTGGCAAAAGACAAAAGTCAGTTCGAAGAAGTAGTTGTGCAAATTCCAGAAGGGATAAACACAAAGAAACAGAAATTCACATCAAGGCATCATAATTATACTTCTGTAAACTAATGACAAGAAAACTTTAAAAGTCTGATAGCAGAGAGAAATGACAAATGGCTTATTAGAGTACTGTCTATTAGAACACCAATTCCAATGACAGCCAAATTCTTGTTTGAAATGGAGGCCAGAGGAAGTGGTGCAATGTTTTTCAAGTGCTGAAAGAAAATCAGCATCAACTTAAAATTCTATATCCAGTAAAAAAAATATCCTTCAGAAATAAAAGTGAAAAACTAAGGGAAATTATGACCAATAAAGCTTCCCTGAAAAGATGACTAGGGGTAATTCTTCAAACACAAAAGCAATGATAAAAGAAGGAAACTTAAAAAAAAAAGGAAACTTGGAATATCAGAAATAAAGAAAGAATGACAGAAAGAATAAAAATATTGGTTAGTGTAATAAAATGTCATTTTCCTCTTGAGTTTTCTGATTTATGTTTGGTATTGGAAACAAAAATTATAATATTGTTAGATGTTTTCAATGTATATAATATTTAAGATAATCAGGACACCTGGGTGGCTCAGAGGTTAAGAGTCTGCCTTCGGCTTAAGGAGTGATCCTGGAGGTCCAGGATCGAGTACCACATCAGGCTCCCTACATGGAGCCTGCTTCTCCCTCTGCCTTTTTCTCTGCCTCCCTCTTTCTGTGTCTCTCATGAATAAACAAATAAAATCTTTTTAAAATTTTTTTGAATTATTTAAGACAATCATATTAAAAAGGAGAGAGGGTAAAGGGACCTAAATGTGCATTTCTCTTGAAGTGGTAAAATGTCAGCATCCGTAAACTGTGATAAGTTATATTTGACAAAAAAAATGTAACTTTATATTTGACCAGAAATATACTAAAAAACATTATAGACAATTCAAATTGGAATTCTAAAAAATTGCTCAAGTAATTCACAGGGAAGCATGCAAGATAGGAACGGAAAATGGGGGACAAACAAAATAAATAATTAAATGTCAGACTTAAGTCCTAATATTTCAATAATTACAGTAAATGTAACTAGTCTAAATATACCAATTAAAAGACAGATATTGGCAGAACAGAGTTTTAAAAACATGCCCTGGTGAAATTCCTGAACTCCAAGAACAAAGCATTAAGATCCTAAGCTTCCAGGCAATGTGAATAGCTTACTTACGAAGGAAAGAGAGTCGCCCCGAATTATTTTGTGGACCCCACAAACTGCCCTTCTTAAAATTTATTGAGACCTAATATTTGTTAGTCAATGTTCTTTTTTTTTTAACAAAAGATTTTATTTATTTATTCATGAGAGACAAAGAGAGAGAGAGGCAGAGACACAGGCAGAAGGAGAAGCAGGCTCTATGCAGGGAGCCTGATGTGGGACCCAATCCCAGGTCTCCAGGATCACGCCCTCGGCCAAAGGCAGGCACCCAACCGCTGAGCCACCCATATGGCTCATGGGTGTCAATGTTAGTCAATGTTCTAAGCAGTTCATGTCATCTCATTTTTTAATTCTATGTGATATATGTTATTAGGTCCCCTGTTATATAGATGAGGAGACTTTCCCAAGGTCATTTAATTAGAATCTAAGACCTTATATTCAAACCCTGGAAAGAAATGAACAAAACTAAAGAGTGACTATAAGTTAGCTCCTTGAACAAGAGAGCAAGAAGAGAACTCCCAGACAGTGAACAACATACTGGAAGGTTCCAAGGATGGAAAGGAAAACCTATTATATGCCAGGTATTTTTTTTTTTAGATTTTATTCATTTATTCATGATAGAGAGAGAGAGAGAGAGAGGCAGAGACACAGGCAGAGGGAGAAGCAGGCTCCACACCAGGAGCCCAACACAGGACTCCATCCTGGGACTCCAGAATCACACCCTGGGGTGAAGGCAGGCACTGAACCGCTGAGCCATCCAGGGATCCCCATGCCGGGTATTTTAAATACACTATTAATTATGGCAAAACCCCAACAAACAGGTATTAGGGTGTTCCTTTTGCTGATGAAGAGATTCAGCAAAGTTAAATAACTTGATCAAAATAATCCAGTAGTAGGTGATAGTCATAACTTAAATCTGGGTCAGCCACCATCCGCTATTGGGTTGACAAGCCAGAAAGGCTCTTAGGACATATTTCCCATGATGGTTGTCTTTGTCATTCCATAGTTTCCCTGTAGTGTCCCAGCAATTAAAACTTTAAAGAGAAAAGGATCTGTCCTACCTTTCTTGGTGATTTTAGCAAGCCCACTGGGTCTGAGTGTCATCTATAAAAGAAAGAATTGAGCTACATCAGTGTTTTTGTTTTTAATTTAACTTAATTTAAAGTAAACTCTATGCCTGACATGGGGCTTAAACCCACGACCCTGAGATCAAGTCTCATTACTGAGCCAGCCAGGTGCCCCTATGGCACCTTGACTTTTTAAATATCTTAATTTTTTTTTTTTTTAAGATTTTAAGTAATCGGGATCCCTGGGTGGCGCAGCGGTTTGGCGCCTGCCTTTGGCCCAGGGCGCGATCCTGGAGACCCCGGATCGAATCCCACGTCGGGCTCCCGGTACATGGAGCCTGCTTCTCCCTCTGCCTGTGTCTCTGCCTCTCTCTCTGTGTGTGTGTGTGACTATCATAAATAAATAAACATTTAAAAAAAATATTTTAAGTAATCTCCACACCCAGCATGGGGCTCAAACCTACAACACCAAGATCAAGAGTTGCACAATCTACCAGCTAAGCCAGCCAGAAGCCCCTAGTATTTTTCTAACTTTGGTGAAGGGTAGACCAGTGGAATCTTTTATTCAATTCAAAGCCTATTAAATAGAAGCTCAATGTAGAAGACAGGTATAAGCAGAGCAAATCTGACTGAAGGGAGATCTAGACTGTAGTGCTAGCCTAAACCCTCTTCAGTTAAAACACTCTTTTACAACCATGAATTCTGGAAGTAGTTCATGGAGAAACCCTGGACACAGGGGAGTGTGTTGGAGGCATTCTCTTCCATCTTCAGTGTAGGATAGGGAGAGAGATTGATGACCTAGATTTTGTTAAAAACAAGGCTTTATTCATGTTTTGTTACGATGGACTATGTACCGAGACATTGTGTCTTAGTCTTTTCTTTGAATCAGGGATGTTCTGGGAAGGATCTGGGCCATGGATTCAGACGTGGCTTGAATACCAGCTCTTCCTCTTGTTAGTTTTGTGACCTTGGACAACTAATGTAACCTTTCAGTTTTCACATCATAATAAACAGATAATACTGACCTTGGGGAGTGTTGTAGGAATCAAATTAAATAAGGATAAAGCACCTAGCAGAGAATCAGGGTATTGTAGACATTTGATTAAAAGCAGCTATTATTATACACTTTGAAACTCCCAGATCTTGGGGCGCCTGGGTGGCTCAGTCCACTAAGTGTCTAACTCTTGATTTCATCTCAAGTCATGATATCAGGGTTATGAGATCAAGCTCCACAGTGGGCCTGGCACTGGGTATGGAGTCTGCTTGGGATTCTCTCTTTCCTTCCACGCTTCCCCCAACCCCCTTCCCTCTCTGAAAAAATAAAAAGAAACTGCCAGATCTTAACACTTTAAATCTGCTTTTTCTTTCACAATTTGTGGAGTTTGGGTCTTTCTTCTCTTTTTTTCTTTTCTCTTTTTAAAAGATGTAGATTGATAAATATAAAAAGAGATGAACTTTTTGTGAAAGAATGCTGAAACTACTGTAAATTTAAGTTGTGGATTATGAAAAAAACACAATGACACTGAAGAAATATATAACCTAGACCCCAATTAATGACTGTTATACATGCTGATTAGCTTGAAACCAAACAGCAAGCATTCACAAAATAATCCATTATTAAAACATACATTTTTTTCAAAAATAAAAGATCCTTTTCTGATCCTAGTATTGACCAGACAAGGATAACCTGATTTTACAGACCTTCTGTCTTAAAATAAGTGATGTTTTGTGCATCATCATACAGTTGGGGGCATAGCCTGACCTTCTAAAGCCTACGGTTTATAGAGGCTAAAGTCATGGAAGATTTCCTATAATGGTCCATGAATTCCTGCCACTTTCCATGAAACTTAATGGGAGAACATTTTAGAGCATACGGTACTTTGTCAACTGATACTAATGTGTCCATTAGTGTGATTCCAGAGGGAATTTCAGTCTATGCCTAGAGAACGGTCACTTGGGGAACAGAAATAGCTACTTACAGCCACCATCTCCCAACAACTCTGTCCTCTGTCCAGCCTCCTCCTCTTTCAGTCCTACCAGGAAACGACATATAACTAGGTATGTGCCATTAATGGTATCTGCATTATCCACACTTGAGCCATAATCCCTTAGGGCATACCACCTTGATGTTCTTCAAGACCTTATACAGACAATATCTCATTTGACCTTCACAGTACTCCTCTGAGCTAGGTTTTGTTATCCCATTCCACAGATGAGGAAAACAGAAGTACACAACAGTTAAACTATTACTTCGAGGTCAGAGGTTAAGTGGCAGAGCTATGCTTTGTCTAATGCAATGGCCCAGCCCCACGCTGGATGTATGGAGGCATATACTTGGACTGACTGGGTCTGTGAATTGCTGTGCTTTGCTAGCCTGATGTGGCCCAAATTAAATACATCCACATTTATTCATTCATTAAAATAACATTGACTAGGAGAGTATGGGTAAGGCATGTGCTATAATGGTGATAGTGTCCTAGAAAGTTCCAGAGCTTTGGAGTCACTCAGAACACAGATATATAGATATCTTGATTCTCATCAAGTGCTAGGTATTAGTAAGGAGTGCTATGAAGAACACAGGTGAATCACACGGGGTCCTGACCCTCAAACATCTCTGAGGGTTTTTTTTTTTTTGTTAAGATTTTATTTATCTGAGAGAGAGTAAAAGAGATCACAGAGGGAGAAAGAGAAGCAGACTCCCCGTTGAGCACAGAGCCCAACTCAGGCTTGATTGGAAGACCCCAAGACCACTACCTGAGCCAAAGGCAGAAGCCCAACTGACTGAGCCACCCAGGAGCCCCTGAAGTTTATATAAATTATATGATGATCTGAAAAAATAAAACAGTTGAATCCCTATCTTACTTCTTATATCTTACTCTTCATTTTAAAATAAAATCCAAATGAATCAAATATTTTCATGGTGGAATCATAAAAGGACTATTAGAAAATACTGGCTAATGTACAAGGAAGATCATAAACATTAAACAAAAGAGCAATAGACATTTTTACATGAAAATTAAAAATCTTGCATGGGGGAAACCAACATAAGGTTAGTCAAAAGATAAATGAAAAGTTAGGGAAAATACGATACAGATAACAAATCAGGGATAAATAAATAAGGGATATATATGAAGTTTCTAAATATATATATACACATATATATATACACACATATATATACATATATACAAAGTTTCTAAAAAGCAGTAATTAACAGACCAACAACCCTATAAAAAATGGGCAAAAGATAGGAATAGCTAATTCATGGTAAAGCAATTATAAATGGTTCATCTACAGAAGTGCTCAAACTTACTCATAAGAGATGGAAATAAAGGCAACACTGAGATATCATGTTATCTAACATAATGGCAAAGATTGGAAGTTTCCTAATACATGTGTTGTTGGAGACATTGAAAAACAAACTCATGTTTTGTTGGCAGGAGTGTAAATTGGCACATTTTCTCTGAAGGGCAATTTAGCAATATCTATGAAAAATTTTAAAATGTGGATCAATAGCAAAACATTTTAAACAACCAAAATGGGGGATCCCTGGATGGCTTGGAGGTTTAGTGCCTGCCTTTGGCCCAGGGCACGATCCTGGGGTCCCGGGATCGAGTCCTGCATCGGGCTCCCGGCATGGAGCCTGCTTCTCCCTCCTCCTGTGTCTCTGCCTCTGTGTGTGTGTGTGTGTGTGTGTGTGTGTCTATCATAAATAAATAAATAAATCTTTAAAAAATACAAATTAAAAAAAATAAACAACCAAAATGCCCATCATAATTATGGCACATGCATTTAATGAAATGCCATATAACTATAAAAAAAGAAAAAGAAAGCTCTTTAGCTACTACCCATTGAAAACAATTTTTATGATATATTGTTAGTTTTTTTAAAGCAAGGTGCAGGGCAGCCCCCGTGGCTTAGCAGTTTGGCGCTGCCTTCGGTCCTGGGTGTGATCCTGGAGACCTGGGATTGAGTCCCACATCAGGCTCCCTGCATGGAGCCTGCTTCTCTCTCTACCTGTGTCTCTGCCTCTCTCTCTCTCTCTCTCTCTGTGTGTGTGTGTGTGTATGTCTCTGTCTCTCATGAATAAATAAAATCTAAAAAAAAAAAAAGCCAAGGCACAAAGTCACAAATACAATGTGCTACCATTTGCACTTTTAAAAACGGAAGGAAATCAGTATTCAAGAATATATACGAAACCCTTAACACTGGTTGATAAGGGGGAAAAAAGAACTAAAAAAGGCTGAAGGACTGGAATGAAAGCTAACCTTTCACATATACCCTTTGTATCTTCTGAATTTTTTAATGGTATTAAATGTTTTTGAACTTTTCTATTGAAAAGATCTTTTAACAACCGTTTCAATTCTAGGAATTACCTCTACAGAGTATTTACACATGTGTTTCATACATTCAAAGATATTCACTGAAGTATTTTATATAATGGCTGGCAACTGAAAACATCCTAAATGCCAACTAAGAAGAGAGCTTCATAGATTATAATTCAGTCATACAAAGAGTTATATACAATCATTAAAAAGAAGTTGGTGGTACTCTATGGATTAATAAAGAATAATCTTGGGATCCCTGGGTGGTGCAGCGGTTTGGCGCCTGCCTTTGGCCCAGGGCGCGATCCTGGAGACCCGGGATCGAATCCCACGTCGGGCTCCCGGTGTATGGAGCCTGCTTCTCCCTCTGCCTGTGTCTCTGCCTCTCTCTCTCTCTCTGTGTGACTATCATAAATAAATAAAAATAAAAAAAAGAATAATCTTAAACCGTTTTGAATAAAAAATATATATATAGAATAGTCTGTCATGTGCTTATAGTATGCATGTATTTATTTTTTTAATAATAAATTTATTTTTTATTGGTGTTCAATTTGCCTACATACAGAATAACACCCAGTGCTCATCCCGTCAAGTGCCCCCCCTCAGTGCCCGTCACCCATTCACCTCCACTCCCTGCCCTCCTCCCCTTCCACCACCCCTAGTTCGTTTCCCAGAGTTAGGAGTCTTCATGTTCTGTCTCCCTTTCTGATAT